GACCAGGTCTTCAACCCTCTTGACCTCCCCCTTCAGAATCCTTCTGAACTTCACGGTCTTCCTCCATTGCCTCACTGTCCTTAACTGGGGCACCTTCATCCATCTCATCATCATTTCCTTCTGGGACCACACCAACTGGGGCTAAATCGGAATCCACCAAACCTAAATTAGAACCATATTCCCCAGAAAAGGATGGATTGAACAAGGTAAACTTCGAAAGTACCTGAGCTCTCAGAGAGTTGAGGAATAGGAAGCTTACTGACTGAGAAGTCGGAAACCTGAGCTTTCTCATAAGCAGCAACTGCTTCAGGCATCAAAACCATCAAACGGTTATACTCCTCCTCAGCACTTTGAATCCCGTTTGCCAACAGATCTTTCAAAAGCTCAGTGTTAGCTTGGAGCTCTTGGGCAAGATTTGGAGATCAACCTCGTCCTTCTTCTTGAAAAACTTATCTTTAACCGAGATAAGGATCTTGTTATAAGCATCGATCACCTCTTTCTTTCCCTTCCTAACGGCCAGTTTGACTTCGGCCTCCTTATTCTTTTGACTAACTTGAGATGAGGTGATCAATTCCTGAACCTGTTGCTCGGCGACCCTCCGAGCAACTTCTAGCTCAATAACTCTCCTGCTCTTCACCTTGATATCAATCTCCAAGCTCTCGATCTTACCCTGTTGAGCGTCAGAATTCAAGCCAAGCCTCTCGACTTCGGATCGGAGTGCTGTAACCTGAGCTCTAGCTTGGTCACGCTCAATCTTGGTAGTCTTCACCATCTCAGTAACCTGGGCAAGCTCCTCGGCATTAGGAGCACCACACACTGTTTCTTCAAACCTTAGTTGAGCCTTGTTAATAGCTCCAGCCAACTACAGAAAAAAAAAACCAGGCAATTAGATAAGTGTCCGTCTAAGAAAAAGCAGCAAAAGGAGGATAAAAACCCTTACCTGACCCATGTAATGAGCGATCTCGATAAACTCATCCCTGTTAGTCAAATTGCTAACCAGAGGAAGAGAGCACCCTGTCTGCTTCATATGCCTCATTAGCGTCGCTAAGCCCCAAGGGTCATCAAGAATGGATCCAGGTTTTGAATGGGCAAAATTCCATCCAACGGTCCCTCCCCTCGAGGAAGAAGAGGAGGACCTAGATGGTCTGTCACCTTGATCGGCACTTAACCTCTTATTCCTAGGAGGCTCAGTCTCGGAAGGATCCTTGATCACCTGAGGATCGACTTCAGTAACCTGAGCTGCAGAACAAGGAACTATCTCCTGACCTCCCTCAGCTTCCATAGTATCAGCATCCTTAACTGGAACGGAAGCTCCATCATCAAGGACTTCTTTCACAGAACTGAGGAAAGATCCCCCCCTGATTCTTCTCGCTTCCTCGTGAGGTGCCGGCAGTTTTCACTGGTCTACCCCTGGATCGGAATGATGGTTGGAGAGGCATCTTGACTGACTGAGTTTTCTCAGTTCCGGAGGTACTAGCTTCCGTCGAGATCGACACTATCGTATTACCCTCAGAAACTGCATTTACGAATTTCTTTAACAATCAAATATCTTCACAAAAGAGCTCACATGCATAAAAAGGATTGGCGTATTACCTTCTAACTCCAGAATAGGGATTGGAGTTAAGAAAGAAGCGTGATATCGATCCGGAAATCTGGCCGCACCTATTCGAGAAGTAGTGTACGACGCCCAGGTGCACGGAGTTTGTTGTAACTTCTGAAAGAGAGCCCTGGTAAGCTTGCCAGTAAGCATAGGAGGATCTTCAATATCTGTAAATGATACAAGGCATACATCAGGATACTACAAATAGAAGTACAGTAGAACCTCTATAAATTAATACTCGATAAATTAATAATCTCTATAAGTTAATAAATTTTACCGGTCCCAACTTGGGCCGGTGTAAAATATGACACAAATCGATAAAATAATAAGATAATAATATTTTTCAAACTGCCATGTAAATATATGGTCCCACTAAAATCATAAATTAATAATCTAGCTATATGTAATTTTATATAAGTACAATTTAACATTGTATTGTTGGTTTTATATTTACTATAAAAATACTTTTATTTTTTTAAACATTTCAATATATTTTGATAATATTTAGTTAGGGGTTTTATATTTACTATAAAATACTTTTATTTTCTTAAAATATTTCAATATATTTTGATAATATTTAGTTAAATTATATAGAAAACCATGTAACGATTCTATGTAACATACAAATATACACCAAATAAGATAATAAAGCAATATAAAAGTCAAATTTCTAAAATTTAAATAATGTACATATGCTAAAATCAAATATATTTTATTTCATAAATAACAATGGAAAAAGATAAAAAAAAAATCTAAATAAGGAAACTTTTGTAAATTAATATCTCTATAAATTAATAAAATTTCAAAGTCCCAACATTATTAATTTATAGAGGTTTTACTGTATATGAATGCAATCCTAGTAATCCTAACCGGAAGCATCAGACCAAACGGTCCTAAGGGCACGACCCACAGGAACCGTCGAGGGGTCGATCTTCACATAAAAATACTTCTTCCGCCAATCGTCATCGCTGCTGGAAAACTTAAAGATACCTAACCTGGGACGACTTGCGAGATAATAAGTCCCGCTACCTCCCTCTTTTGAAGCACTCTCCTTTATCGAAAAGAGGCTCATCAAATCGTTAATCCCAACAGCGACTCCTTCCTCTTTAGACCTAGTAAGGAAACCGTTTATCACTCTGATAACGGAAGGACAAAGCTGGGGAAGGGCTAGTTGGTAGTGATCAAGGAGATCTAGTAGAAGGTCAGGGAGAGGAAATCTAAGATGGCTCTTAGATATGTACTTCTCGTGAACACAGAACCAGCCTTCTGGGGTCGTCTCGGGGGTTTCGTGATCTACACAAGCCCTAGCTAATTCTTTACGACCGAGAGCCTGGACCATAAGGTTAACTACCTCTTGACTCTTTAACGCCGAAGGCGAGTGGGATCCGGAGGGTAGATTCTCACCGGAACCACCGGTCTTTTTGGTTCGTTTGGAAACTCTCTGAGCTATCGATTCTTTAGCTTTCTTCCTCTTATCAGCCTTCTTCATGGACTCACCCACCTCTTGTTTCACCTTCATAATTCGAGCACCGATGGCAGAAATTCCGGTTTCACCAGAGCCTTCTTTCGGTCCAGCCATAACAGGGAACGAAGAAAAGAGATCGAGAAAAGTAAAAAGAAACTGGAACTGATAAACTAGAATTCGCAGAATAAAACTTTAGAGAAAATCTACTCGAACCTCGTTTCGAACTTAAAAGAAAAAGGCTGTAAAAAGAAAAACAGTAAAATAAAAAGAACCAGAAGGAGTTACCTTGGGAAACTGAATCGAGACGTGGAGAGAGTGGGGAAGTTGGAGTTAATGTAATCAGCTTTATATCCCATCAAGCCTCGAGAATCAGAGGATAATTATTTCAAAATCCTTTTAAGCTGAGTCGTTGATTTCGTTAAGTTTAATCGTATCCGTTGGATCAAGTAAAAGATATCCTCGAGAGAAGATCGCGAGTAATCATTATCTCAACGAAAAATTAAGATTCGGCGGCTAGGTCTAGCTCCCGAGAAAAGTATCTTTTCTCGAAAGCTGGGGGCAACTGTTGGGCCAAAATATGGCTCGTTAGCTGAAATTACTGGATCAATCAAATTGAGCTTAACAATGGGCCACGCGTGAATTATCGTTTCAAAAGAGAGTGAAGCTCACCTAAGGACGGAGGCTGCTTCCAAGGATTTCGATAAAAGAGGTCACAAGAAAGAGGTCATGAGAAAGAGGTCACGAAGAAGAGGTCCAGCTTCTCTCGCAGGAACCTAATAAAACAGCCCAGGATACAAAGATAGAGGCGTATGATTCGGTCAAAAGGAAGCTGTTGCAAATCCCTCAGTTTACGGAGGCGATCTCGGAGACTAATCATGAGAGGTTAAACGTGACCTGAGGCTATTTAAAGGAGGGAGAAATGAAGAGAAGGGGATTCACGCTTTTGACGAATTTACACATACATTATCAATCACAAATCATTCATTCGTTTCCTTGTATTCGTTTCAATCGTCTTTGTAATCATTGATCATCAAATACAATCATAATCATTCTTTAAGTTCTAAAAGGATTCAGACCACGATTGTCTTTTTCCCAATCTAAACCTAACCTAAACTAGAGAGTGAGTTTAACCCCTCACAGGATATATTAAATGAAAATGATAACATTAAGATTTAAGAAAAACCTGTAATTATGGGTGATTTGATGGACTACTCGAAAGAACACGACTTCTCTCATGAAAAAGTCTAGTTTCGAAGTCTCTTATAATCATTACACTTGCATTTAAACGCCACAACACTACACCGTCATTAAGTAGTAGATCATCATAACCATTGCATTTAAACTCCACTTCTCTCCCCGAGAAAGCATAACTACTCCAACTTATCTCACACGCTTTCTGACTGCAACAATCGCCTCTCCTGAAATTTAAGATATATAAATATGTAAAAGTAAGTAAAACTCGGGGAGATCACGGACTAAATTTATGAAACTAAGAAAAACGTAACAATTTAGATTGTATGAAAATTTGAATCTATACAAAACTTAACGAAATTTTTAATATTATATCATTTTATTTTTCAAAAGATGATCAGTTTCCAAAATGGATAATAGTTAGTGAATATATTTAGAGTTCGTATATTTAATGATAGCAATTAGCAGTAAAGGAGATAATAAATGAAAAGGATAATATAAATTTTGAGAAAAAGCCTCGTCGAATGAACACGACTTCTCTTGTAAAAAAGTCTCTTTTAATAATCATTACACTTCCGAGTATCATTTATATGCCACATCTCTTGCATTATAAGAATTCTGCATTTAAACACTCACCGTTACTTCATCTCCTATGTCATCTCTTCTCTCATCTCTGCGAATACTCCATCTTTTCTCTCATCTCTGCGAATACTCCATCTCTTCTCTCATCTCTCAACAAAGAAGATGGCAGAGTACAATATGCTTTCCGAGGTTACTTATTACCCCAAGATCAGGTCTTGGCGTTTCAGAGTGCAGCTACACATGATCTACCCTTACGCGATTACCAACCATGGGTCTTACTATAACTATATCCTCGCAGATGAAGATGTAAGTGTTATATCATCATTTATCAAGTGTGTAATAAACATGTAACCGTGAGAAATAAAAACTTGATCCTTGTAACATGTAATAAACATGATGGGGATTATCCAAATTTTAGAGGCCTTGAGAAGGAAGAGAGAAGATAGGTAGAAATCTTTGTGGTAGAAGTTGAACGGACCTACCCATGTTTCCAGCCAACTAGCTCTCCGTTTAGACTAAATGCTTCGCGCTGTACGCAAGTCCGCATCATCGAACCTCTGAACAGTCGCCTTTTCTTGGACTTCAAAAGCATCCATGAAATCCCTCGCATGCACTGGCGTGACCTCAGATATCCCATAGGTATGTTGGTAATCTCAACAGTCGCATATCTTGGTTTCAGAACTTTGTATAACTTTGTAGATGTAAGTAAAAATAAGTGAAACGAACTAATTTAGTTGGGTAGATACAATGGGAGTGGTCTTCAACACGAAAGCCTATCTCGATGCCCCTTCAAGACCAAGGATGGAGTTTTACATAACGGAGAACATGTGAGTATAAAGTAACATATGATCCAAGCAAAATTTATATATATATATATATATATATATATATTGTAACTGACCTACTTTTTCTTTATTCTGAATAGTGACCATCAGATAAAATGTGTGGTGACCGGCGATCTGGCCTATGCCTTCCAGGATGGTCTTGATTACCTGATTGTGGCCCTTAAGATGTGGAGAATCTGGAAATTTATGTGTAAGTGATGTTTCTGTGACTAGTTTTAAATGTGATAGTTGAGTAAAACTTTTACTAAAATCACTTATACAAGTTATCTTGGTCCTCCTAAAATATGGCTTGAGACCGAAGGTGGATTTGCGGACTTTAGGTTCAATCCGCGTTTGCCCGAGGTTGCGGACTTCAGGTTCAAGTAATTTAATATAATTTATTTATTTATCTAATAATATTAGAAAATTATATTCTTTACAAATTATTTTTTAAATAATTTTATAAAAATAAACTTAAATTATAAATTACTTTTAAAAACAATATTTTAAGTTTCTTAAATACAAATAAAAAATTTAAAATTAGTTATGGTCATGGTCATGGTCATGATTTAACATAACCATAATGATTTAAAAATTAAAAATTCACTCAATTTTATATCATGATTTAACAATTTAAAATTAATTATGGTTATGAGAAATTTACGTTCATGTGTCAATCCTATTTATCTTCAATTTTTCTCTTGTTGTGTTTTTTTATTTTGGTTATTACTCGATATAAATATATATTTTGAAGTTTTTTTTTTCATTTTTTGTTTGTTTTGACATGGGATTTAGAAAATACTTAAGATTTAAAATAATTAAAGAGATATATACTTAGATTAAGAGCTGCCCTTTATGCACAATAAATATTTTATATTTATTATTTATTTTATAATTTATGCATATTAGAAAATAATAAATATATATTAAATAACTAAGAAATCAGTTATTATTATGTAATAAATTGGCGTATGCATATAAATTTAACTATCATTCTTGTTTATTCGTAATTAGGGTAAGTCAATCAAAATAATTAATCTTATATATTGTATATGATATATAATTAAATTTAAATGATATAAACATAGTAGTATAGCACACTTTAATATGAATATTTATTAAATGAGGTTTCTACTCATATGATTTTATGATAATTTGCATATTTGTGTAACAAAACTTTATACCAACGAATTTTTTAATGTGAGATGTTTAGTAGTTTCAATAATTTATAATTATTTAAAAAAAATGAATGACATATTTCAAAATTAGAATATTAACTTTTCAATATATGTTCAATGCAAATATCAAAATATAAGTATGTATTTTCATACGATGTATAGTTTAATTTTAACGATATGAAATATATATAAACTAAAATTATTTCTTCATATGGTCTTATAATCATTATATTAATAAAGAAAAAAATATAACCTTGATCCTAAAAGTTTATGTGAGACTTTTAACAGTTTTAGTAATTTATACTCATTTTGAAAAAAATCGAAGATACAACATACACAAAAAAACTAGATTTTTATTATATGATTAATATAATTATGTAATTTGTTTTAATAATAAATAAATAAACAAAATAAGAAAAAGTATACAGATTGTTATCAAATATTTATTGTTTAAAATCATTAATTGTCATATATATATTTTACACATTAGGTAATTCCGTAGGTTTTATTTAAGAAAGCATGCGAAACAATAAATACTAGGATAAGACATGCGCCTTGCGCAGAGTGATTATACGTAATTAAAATATAAAATTTTATTATATATAAATTTAAAATTTACATATAATTATTTTTATATGTATTTGAAATTTTAGAATTTTGGAATTTTTAAATAATTATATATACGTAGGATCAGAAATAATTGTAATTAGAACTGTAGATCAAATCTTAGAATTTAATAGACCCGATTTCATATATATTTTCACTTTTTAGTGTTCGAGTGATGGAAAATAAACAGAGTGTCATTGGACTTGATTGGTAGAGTATTAGCAAATTTCCTAATGTTTTTTTTAACAAACAATTGGTAAAATAATTGCATTTAAAATATATAAAGTTTCAAAAATAATTTAATATAATTTATTTATTTGTATAATAATATTAGAAAACTATATTTTTTACAAATTATTATTTTTTAAAGAATTTTATAAAAAAGTAAATTAAATTTAAAATTATTTTTAAAAACAATATTTTAAGTTTGTAAAATACAAATAAAAAATTGAAAATTAATTATGGTCATGATTTAACATAACCATAATGATTTAAAAAAATAAAAAATTAACAATTTAAAAATTAACTCAGTTTTATATCATGATTTAACAATTTAAATATTAAGTATGGCTATGAGAAGTTTACGTTCACGTATTAATTCTATTTATCTTCAATTTTTTATTTTGTTTTGTCTTTTTATATTTTGCTTATTACTCGATATAAATATTGATTTTGAAGATTATTCTCATTTCGTTTATTTGTTTTGACCCGGGATTTAGAAAATACTTAAGAATTAAAATAATCAAAAAGATACATACTTAGGTTAAGATCTGCACTTTATGCACAATAAGTATTTTATATTTATAATTTATTTTATAATTTTCTGCATATCATAAAATAGTAAAATGATAAATATATATTTTACATAACTAAGAAATCAGTCACTATTATGTAACAAATTTACGTATGCATATAAATTTAACTATCACTCTTGTTTATTCACAGTTAGCGTAAATAAATCAAAATAATCAATCTTATATATTGTATATGATATATAATTAAATTTAAATGATATAAACATAGTAATATGGCACACTTTTAATATTGATATTTATTAAATGAGGTTTCTACTCATATGATTTTATGATTATTTGCATATTTGTGTAACAAAACTTTACACCAACGATTTTTTTTAATGTGAGATGTTTAGTAGTTTCAATAATTTATAATCATTTTTTTTTAAATGACATATTTCAAAATTAAAATATTAACTTTTCAATATATGTTGAAGACAATCAAAATATAAGTATGTATTTTCATACCATTTATAGTTTAATTAAAACAATATGAAATATATATATAAACTAAAATTATTTCTTCATATGGTCTTATAATCATTATAATTTAATATAGAAAACAAATTAAAAACTTGATCCTAAAAGTTTATGTGAGACTTTTAACAATTTTAGTAATTTATACTCATTTTGAAAATTCGAAATACAACATACACAAAAAAAAATCTAGATTTTTATTATATGATTAATGTAATTGTGTAATTTATTTTAATAATAAATAAATAAACAAAATGAGAAAAGTATACAGATTGTTATCAAATTTTTATTGTGTAAAATCATTAATTGTCATATATATTTTAATCACATTAGATAATTCCGTATGTTTTATTTAAGGAAAGCATGCGAAACAATAAATATTTGATATATGCGACCAACTATAGTCTACGAAATAATATATTGCTAGAGAATATAATTTTTAGACTATACATTATATCACATGCTCTAGAATTCTTGGGATTTGAAATAGAAGTCAAATAGCTATGCCACATAGGATTGGGGTTATTTTTAATTCTTACAAACTTAAGGTTACAACTTTTTAAATGATTCTCAGATAATATATAGGAGATATGATATATGCGATCAACTATAGCATACGAAATATTATATTGTTAGAGAGTATAATTTTTACACTATGCATTGTATTACATGCTCTAGAATCTTTCTGAATTGAAATCGAACAAAAACTTATGCTACATAGGATTGGAGTTAATTTTAATTATTACAAATTTAAGATTACAACTTTTAAATAATTTCTTGGGGATTTAAATCTTCTTACAAGTTACAAGTTTTGTGGTTAAAAGGTAATACTTTTTTCTACGATCACTGTAGTTTTTCTGTGATGTTGTTATCGCTGACTCGGCGTTTGATAAAAGAACATGGCCATTAACATTGATAGTTCGTCATGATTGAAGGAGAAGAAATAAGATCAAACATCATAACGTTTCTGAGTCATGAAAGAACATAGCAAATGTTTCTCTTTCTGATGAAACCGATTAATCAAGCTTTATAATTAACAACTGTACTAGTCTATTCTTTCACAATAAGTTTATTCTCAGTACCATGCCCCCACCCTATATTTTCACCAAGAAAACAAACAAAACAAGAATGCAGTATATATATCTACATTAAGTCCAAAGAATTAGACCAATAACATAGCACAAATATTTAGTAAATCAGTTCTCGTGGGTCAAAAGATTTGACCAATATAGCATAAGTTTGCAGTGAATCAGTAAACTGCGACGAAACTTGGTGTATATGTCCATCGATACAACAAGGAAAAACCAAGTAAAGTATTCATCTAGACACGACCCTATCACTAAACATAATTTGAACCTGAAGATTCCACTCTGTGTCGATTAAGATTAAAACAGGAAAGAAACACACTTGAGAACCATGTAAGATCTCACACTATTTGCTCTTAGTTGCAATTATCTTTTCTTCTACTGTCATAGTCAAAAGAACCATCACTTAACATAAACCTTGACAAGCTTTCGAATCTATTAGACACTATCTTTGGTGAAGATAGCCAACAACTCAGTCACAACTCAGAAGCTGCCTATCATCGTGTTTCATCACATACCTTTTCAAAAACACCTCATTGCTACAATTCAAGACAACCCATAGGAGGCAATTCAGTTCCAAGCAAACCTTTAGACATGAGAGCTTTGATTACGTTACACCTAGGCACAATCCTCTTCTCCATGCTGTATGAAATTACCTGAGGATACAAAGACACAGCTTTGACTGGCCAATTCATCTGCTTCACCACAAACTCAATCTTCTCCCTCACCAACTCTGTAGAATGAGTAATAAATGTAGATTGTGGAATGTAAATCTTATTAGATGGTAACACATTACAATATATAGGTAAGCAGGGAGCCTATACTAGGTTAACATCATCTACATAATGACCCTTTACATATATACATATGATCCTCTATACGCCCCCTCAAGATGGAGGGACATTTGTGACTCCAATCTTGGATATAGCAAGCAGGAACTGTTGTCGTGTGAGAGGCTTTGTAAGGGCATCAGCAAGTTGATCTTTAGTAGAAATGTGAGAAACGCGTACCATTCCAAGCTGTATCAAATTTCTGATGAAGTGGTAGTCTATGGCAATATGCTTCATTCTCGAGTGAAA